CTAATTTTAATTTGGATGGAAACTGACCCTCTCTTAGAAATGTATTAACGATGCAGTGCAACAATGTTAACATCGCATTTCCCTCCTGAGCTGCCAACCATGAGGGACAGGGATCAAGGGAGCATGTCGTCCTCCTAACACTTCGAAGGATCTTGTCCACTTCCTCGATACTGACAAACTCAAAATGATCCAGTATAACAGGGGCCACGGACGCTTTGGACACCTCTCTAGGACCTGCAGGAATACTGGCGTCGAGATCAGCCTTTATCCGAGAGATTTTATCCGCAAAGAAGTTGTTAAATTCATCACAGCAGGCCATAGATGGTTCCAAAATAGGGCTCAGGGAGGGGGGGGAGCTGAGTTAGCTCCCTCACAACCCTGAACAGCTCTGCTGGACGCGACTCCGCGGACGCAATACGTGCAGCAAAGAACGAATTCTTTGCTAAATCTATTGCCACTCCATAGGCTCTTAAAAGAGAGTGAAGGAGTGTCCTGTCGGACAAGCGCTGATGTTTCCGCCAGTTACGCTCTAGTCGTAATAGAATAGAAACCTGTAAGACAAGGGTGTGGGGAATACACAAGCCATAGAAGCTGTTGCTGTTGTTGTTGTGTGCCTTCAAGTTATTTAGGACAATCCTAAAATGAATCTATCATGGTGTTTTATTGGCAAGAGTGGTTCAGAGGAGGTTTGCCATTGCCTTCCCCTGAGGCTAAGAGCATCTGAATTGCCCAAGGTCATCCAGTGGGTTTCATGGCCGAGCTGGGAATTGAACCCTGGTCTCCAGATTCGTAGTCCAACACTCAAACCATTACACCTCACTAGCTCTCCATGAACTGTATATATCATCCCATTTTTGCACTTCTCCTGCCCCATTGCCATTACTAAATTTGCCATTGCACTCCTGCACATGACAGTAGTGACCAGAAAAGGGCTGAAATTTACCTGTAAAGTCAGGGAAGCAGGTGCTGTTTTCAAGCTGGATTTGTTTCCCAAAGTCTTTCAGAAGCGTGAGTTAACTTGGAAACAGGGCACATACTCTCCATGCATATTTTTAAAAACTAAATTATGGCTTTTTTGCCACCATGCTAATTGTTAGATTTGCTCAGTAGGAGCACAGTCTGGATCCTTTTGGGTTCAAGTGTACAATGTGCTCTCCACTCCCCCAGATTTTGCTCAGCCATGTTCTAAGAACAAGAGTAGAAAAAAGGAAAAGAAAAGTGACTCAGAATATATAATTACTGCAAAGGGAACATGACTTTAAGACATGAGTTCTAAATAGCCTTAACCATCTGTTTTGAAATAAGATTAAAGCAAATTAGCAAATGATTATTCACAACATTTTACCACACATTTCCTCCAGCTGCAAGATTATTATTATTATTTTTAAAAAAACTTGTTTTCCAGTCATGGTTATAATATCAAAACAGAATCATTGACAATTCTTCCAAATTTGGCTGTGGAACTCCCCACCCAAGAAAGTTAGGCATCTCTCAAAGTTCTCGTGAGTCACCAAAACAGTACTATTTTGCATAGTATTCAGTGTTTGTGATCACTGTTTAACTGTTTTTAACATTGGAATCTAGGATTGTTTTTAGACTGCTTTTAGAAGTTTTTAAAATGTATTTTAACATGTTTTCATCTTTGTATTGTTTTAATTGGTTTTTGTTTGTTCATTGCCTCAGGAGCTCTTGTGGGCTGGGAGGTGAGACAGAAATACTTAAACAAACAAACAAACAAACAAACAAACAAATCAATTATTAAATCCTGGATATTTTGCCAACTAAAGGAGTAACTTTTTAATTTTTTAGTTCTATTGAGGTGGAGAAGTTTCAATAATCAATATATTTTAGCTATCTGTGTTAGAATTGTAGTCAAATTGTAGCAAAATAGATGCCAAGTAGCTACACATAGAGGATTCTGGGAGTTGAGGCCTCTGAAAAGGAATAAAATGCTGGAGGGTTGTAACAGCAGGAATGCAGGGATGTTTATAGATAGATTGCCCTTTTGAATGACTGCTGCAGAGCCATAATAAATCACTGGGCTATGGCAGAGCCATAATACAGTGGTACCTCTACTTACGAATGCTTCTACTAACGAAAAA